CTGGGTAGTCAGAGCTCAGCAATCACATGTCTAAACCTTTACAGTATTTCATCTTATATTGACAAGTCTACAAGCAAGTTCTGTTCTTATCCCCTGTGTTAATCAACTTTCCCTTACTGAAACAAATAGCCTAAGATAAATCAACTTAAAAAGAGAAAGGGTTTTTTTCTGGCTTATGGATTAGAGGTTTCAGTCCATGGCCAGTTGGCCCTATTGCTTTGTGCTTTGGGCCTGTGGTGGCACAAAACATCATGGCAAGAGCTGGTAATGGGTGGAGGAGACGCGCTCACCTCATAGTTAAGTGTAAAAGACAGAAAGGAAAGAGAAGAAGAAATGGGAGTTCCATAATCCCTTTCGAGGGCACAACCCAAGGACCCAAGGCCCTGCATCTTCAGGGTTTCACCACTTGCCAATAGCTCCAAGCTAAGAATGAAGACTTGATCACATAGTCCTTGGAGGACATTCAAGATACGAACTATGGTGTCCCCTTTTTACAAATGAGAAAATTAAGACTTGTAGCATTAAGTCTGTTTATCTATAGTTTTAATACATTTGTGACAACAAAAGGTTTTGGTACTACTGTCATTTCTGATTTTAAGACTTAGTCCTTCTAAGAAGATATGACAGGAACCATCTGACTTAATGATCACCAACCAAAGCCAGTGTCTGCAAAGTTATCAAAGCCCAAGACAGCTATTCTTCTTCTTGGCTTTCTAAAAGGAGAACATGCAGTTTCTGACAAAAATGTACATGAACAAAAAATTATCCCTGTCAGAAATAAGTATTTATGCCTGTTTTTCTTATTTTGTATTTGTTTACAGCTGTTCTACTTGTCGTGTATAATAAGTAAAGGCTTCAGGGATAGGTGTAGTTTAATGATTCTCGGTGATAAAGAAAACCCACAAAGCAGAACATGCCAACAAGTTTATCTCATGGAAAGAAAACTCTCTGCCTCAGGAATACTTTAGACTCTTGAATAGGCACAAACATCCTTAGCATTCTCTTTGATATGGGTTTGAAATCCTGCTGTGCCCATTGGTCATGGTAACTGTTTTGTTAATTTTGCCCAGTAATAGCATGTTTTTAAATTTTATTTTCCATCTATTTAGGGTGGAACTGGACCCTCATGTCAGAGACTGTGTTCACACCTATATTCGGGAGTGGCTAATTGTGAACCAAAAGTAAGTTACTTTTCCCCATTCTTTATATGTAAATGTTAATTTTATTTGTTAGCCTTCTCTTAGTTTTTTAATTAATAAATGTTTTGAGCAGTTTCAGGTTAGTAGAAAAATTCAGCAAAAAGTCCTGACAGTTCTCATTTACTCTCTGGCTAATATCCTCCCCCTCCCACCACATACAGTTTCCCTTATCATTAACATCTTGTATTAGTGTACATTTATTATAATTACTCATCCAATGTTGATACATTATTATTAACTAAAGTCTGTAGTTTACATTAGTGTTTTTATGATTTGTTTTTGTTTTTGTTTTGGGGGGTTTGTGTGTTGCTGAGAATCAAATCCAAAGCCTTGTGCATATTATTAAGCAAGTGCTCTACCAGAGTTATAACCCCCAGCCCTATGTTCATATTGTATGCTGTATATTCTGAGTGTTGTTTTGTTTTGTTTTGATACTGAGGATCGAATTCAGGACCTTGCGCTTGCTAGGCAGGTGCAGCACAACTGAGCTAAATCCCCAGCCCTATTCTATGGGTTTTGACAAATGTATGACACATATCTGTCCTTACAAGATCATACAGCATAATTTCACTACACTAAAAATTCACATATCTTTCTGTCTCTCTAATTTTACCTTGTTGCTTCCTGTCTTCTTTTATTTGTTTTGTTTTGTTTTTGTTTGTTTTGGGGGGGGGGTTGGTACCAGAGATCAGACTCACAACCTTGTGCTTGTGAGGCAGGAGCAGTGCCACTGAGCTAAATCCCTGGCCCTGCTTCATGTCTTCTGATAGCTTGATAGTTCATTTCTTATTGTCACTGAAAAATCTTGCATTGTATATACGTACCACAGTTTGTCAATTTATTTATGAAGAAAGTAACACTTTAAACATAAATAGTATAGCCTTTAAGCCAAGTGCATTGGCAGGCATCAGTAGTCCCAGCTACTCCAGAGACTCTGGCAGGGATATCCCTTGAGCCTAGGAGTTTGAGGCCACCCCGGGCAACACAGCAAACCTAATCTCAAAAAATGAAATAGAGCTTTTGTGTTGTATTTATCTGATGAATTCCTGAGAAAAATAAATACTGTAAATGAATTGAAAATTGGCATTCAATTCAGAACTATCATTAAAATTTGTGACCCAGAAATAAATTTGAGCCGGGGTTATAGCTCAGTGGTGCCATGACTGCCTGGCAAGTGCAAGCTCCTGAGTTCAATCCCCAGTACCAGAAAAAATAAAAAATAAAATAAAATTTTAAAAAATTTGTGATCCAGAAGTAAATTGCTTGCTAGCTTCCTGTCAGAAGGGCCTTTCTGTCTTTGTTTAATCAAATGTTTCATGACACTGCTCAGAACTTTAGACACTGAAGTTCTGAGAGAGTGTGTGTGTGTGTGTGTGTGTGTGTGTGTGTGTGTGTGTGTGTGTGTGTGTGTGATGGGGGATTCTTCAGGTTGGGCCACTCCACTAAAGACACACCAGAGAACCTTTGAGAAGGTATAAGCAGCTTGAAATTTGATAGCCTCACCCCTCCTGTACTCCAGTAAGAACTACTGTTCCTTGGGATAAATGATGAAAAACTGAGGGGATTGGGTTTTATCCAGCTCCTGGAAGTGTGCCATTGAACTTGTGCTGATGTTTTTTGGAATAACGTCAGTGTGCCTACTATTTTCAATAGCTGAGGAAGAGAAAGCATCGCTTATGAAAAGTAATTAAGAGACAGTTAGATGCTAATCCATCTTCCCTTCTAACACAAGTGGAAAACGAAGTTTGCCAGGCAGTCAAATAAGATTATGCTTTGCTGGTAATAAATAAAAGATTTCAGAACAAGTTGTTCTCAAGCTTTCCAATGTTATAATTAGAAGTACTTTCTGGATTTTGAAGTTCTAAAAAAAATCTGAGCAGGAACAATAAATAGAAAGGTCCATTTTACTAAATTTGGTTTTTAGATTTATTTTCTGTGTGAGACACTGGTACTTTTTCATTCCTCTTGGCAATGTAAGCTCCTATCTTTCACAAACTTAAAAGAAAAAAAGACCTTTATTTAGAATACTCACTTTGAAAATTATAGGAAAACAAAACAAAAATAACTCAAGTTCACTATATATAGAAAAACATCTTGAACTTTTGATATATAGACTTTGAATCATGTTTTATTGAGGGTATGTTTGTATAAAAACTAAATCAGGGGCCAGGGATTTAGTTCAGTGGCATTGTACCTGCAGGTCCTTAGTTCAATCCCCAGTACCACACACACACACAAAAAAACTAAATCAGATTATGATAGTAGCATGTTTTCAGTTTTCACAATAAGCAGTGATTATCTCTCTTTACCATTAAATTTTATTCCTCAACACAGCTATTAGTGATTGTATATTTATATCAGAATTCATTTAACCAATTTTAATGTTGAGATCATTCCCTGTTTTTCATTTTTATACTTAAAATGTAGAAACATCCTTTTCATTGAAACTTTTTGCACACTTATAAGTTTTTTCCTGCTGGAATAAATCTCAATAATAGAAGTTTCTGTCTCAAGGGTATTCATCTTAGGGAATAATAGATTTTAAAATATTAATAATAATATATACACAAATCCGTACAAGTAGAGTGTCATCACTTAGTAACACTTCCAGTATTTTTGGTAAAATGATTTGTCTTTTATTTGCATTTTCTTTGATTATTAGATCGGGCATTTTTTTCCATGTATTTGTTGGCCACTTGTAATTTTTTTTTCATTAAGTTTATTGGTACATTTTAGGTGTACAATACAGTAAGATTCATCATTGGGATCTTGTACCAGCCACTTGTAATTTTTCCTTGGTGCTCTGCTAATTTATGAAGTTTGTACAACTCTTAATCTATTTGGCCTTTATATATTTAGGAGCACTTTTTAAAAAAGATATTAGCCCTTTATCTATCATATCAGTTCCTCACCCAGTATGCCTTGATGAAAAAAGAGCTTTTGCAAATAGAAAGAGGACCAAGACTTGGAAAGAGCAGGAAGAGAGGGAAGGTGCAGGGGATAAAAAAAGATTAAGATATATTATGTACATGTACCAGCTCCCCTATGTAATCATTATGTACTACAAACATGTCCTAATAAAAAAGTGAGTCTTATTTAAGTAATTAAATATATATTGATGTTTTTCCTTAAGATTTCTATTTTTGGTGTCATGCTTAAAATTTAATTCACAGACCTAATATTGTTTTCTAGCCTTTTGAGTTAAAGTATTAATCTAGATCATTAGCCATTTGATTGCTGCTTTTATTCCCATGCAAATCATTTGTTTTTCTCTTCTACTGAAGCAATGCTTATCCATGTATTAGCTTTGTTCAAATATTTTCATAAAGCAATACCTATTTTAACTTTATGTTTTACAACATACTGCGGTGGGGCGGGGGGAGGGGTTGGCTAGAGTTTACCCTTGGCCTGGTTCTCTGCACACCTGTGTAAGGAACCAGTTCCCGTCCCAGAAACCAACTGTTGGACGAGTAGAAACATGAGACTTCAAAATTCATTTTCAGTTTCTGGCAAATTTTAGCTAGCATTTTATTGAGAGAGTATATTTTTCAATCACTTGGTTTGATTCTTTGGTACATCTGACACTCTAAACATGAAAACTCTAATTCCTATCACACACTCCTCCCAGGTATCGTTCTCTGTGTGTACCCATAGTATTTGACTTGGGAGAATCCCTACCTACTCCTAGTCACCCTTCCTCCCTCAGTTCCACATACATTTTCCACTCGGTTGTTTTCTAGGCGTTGTTCCTGTGTGGTTGTAGAATGGCAACAGGAGGAAGAGGGCACGAGGAAGGTGCTGGTTAATGTAAGTGAGGCCAGGAACCTGTGAGAGCCTTCTTAAGTAGACCACAACAGTGAGGAAGCAGAATTCATCAAGGAAGGTATGCAGAACCTTCCTGTCTATTCATTGAGATCCCTGTGGAGACAAAGCACAGTACATCTTTCCTGTTCTAAGCAACATCTGATCCACAAAGCTTCTAGATTTAGGCCAACCAGATCTGCTGGTTTGGATGTTTTCATTTTTTCTGTGTCTTCATAGGGGTAGGTGATTGCTGGGAAGGCGGAGGAGGAGGCAATAGGATTGCTGGCCAGCTGTTAATTAGTCATTAATTCATTTGGTCTCTTTTGAACATGTTACTTTATGTGACAAAGAATGTGTGCTCATTTTGGAAGAAAGCAAATAACATGGACTTAATATGATTAAATAAAAAGCAAGTATCCTGCCTCACCTTCCCACCAACTGCCTCCACTCCTTGTTCACTGCCTACAGGTCAGTGCTGTGACCTTTCAGATCTTCTTTTCATGCCCTCACAAATATATATGGCTGTCTGTGTTTTTTACATAAATGTGTGCATATGTATGTCTTTTATACATTATGAAAATAGACAATATTTTTCTAATATCTTTGAGGTCATTTTGTGCCAGATGTCTATCCTGTTCTTTGGAAATGATGCCTTGATTTTCTCCAAGGGTGAAGGGATGTATTACAAGTTACGGAATCTTTCTGACGATGGGCCCTACAGTTGTCTCTCCTTTCCCCAATTAGAAATAATACCACAATAAGCATACATTCACATTGGCCCCTACACAAGTGTGTGAATATTTCTGAATGTAGAAATGAAACCACTGCCCCTAATAAATTCTGATAAGTATTGCCACATTCTTCTCCAGAAAAATTGTACTAGTTCACCTCATCACCAACTTGGCATGAAACTACCATTTTCTCTATATCCACACCAGTGCTGGATATTATAAATTAAAATAAAACTTAATTTCCTCCAGTCTTATTCTAGTTATTTGAAACTGGAAGCTATTATTGCCTACTTTCTGAATACTGTTTCATATCACTGAGTTTTCTTTATTTATTATTCTAAAATACCAATTAAATATACCCTTACTATACAGCCTGAGTTCTACTCTTAGATCTTTACCCAAGTGAAATGAAAATGTATGTCCATGTAAACATTTATAGCAGTTTTACTTGTAATTTCCTAAAACTACAAACAACCCAAATTGTACTCAACTAAGTAATGGAAGAACAAACTGTGGTAATTCCTTAGAGTGGGATACTACTCAGCAATAAAAGGAGAGAAACTGCTGATGTGTGCAACAACATGGATGAACCTCAGCTGCATTATGCTAAGTAAACAAGGCCAGACCAAAAAAATATAACTGCATGATTCCATTTGATATGCCATTCTGGAAGAGGCAAAGTTATAGAGTCATAAAATAGATCTGTGATCACCAGGGTCTGAGACTGTGGAAAGGAGTTGATCATAAAAGAGGATAGGAGAATTTTAAGGGCTTCTGGAATTGTTTGATGTCTTGATTGCAGTTGTAGTTACACAATGGTATGTATTTGTTGACCTCATAGAACTGCACTCTAAAAAAGATGAATTATATAATTGTACTTCAAAAGTGATGGGTATCATGGGCCGGGGATTTAGCTCAGTGGTTTCACCACCTACTGTGCAAGCAGAGGGACCCAAGTTCAATCCCTAGTACCAAAAAAACACACACAAAAGTGATGGGTATCAGTCTAAGATAGTGCCTGGTACTAAGTAATTACTCATTACATGTAGGGTCTACTATTTTGTTATGGTTTATGGAGTGGAAATAAATAAATTCAAATCCTGGTTCCACTACTTACTAGGTGTGTGGTCCAAGGTAAATTTATTTATTTCTTTGTTCTTCAGTTTTTTAAGCATGAAGATAGGTTCCCCCAATTACAGAGACCAGAGGGGTGGCTCATTGGTAGAGTGCTTACCTAGTATCTCCAAAGCCTTGAGATCGATCCCTAGCCCTGTTAGAAAAAGAAAAAAAGAAGTAATACCTACCTTAAAGGTTTGTTGTATATAATAAATAAGTTAACATATGTAAAGTACTTGAAAGATTTCTTAGTATAATGTGACAATTCAATAGCTCTTAGCTACCATTGATGATATTATTGTATTATTATAGAATATAGCTCAATTTTGCTTGCCCAACTGACAAATAATTTAAACTAGACAAATTAGTAAGATATTATATGTAAAGGGAAAAATACAAGAGGACAACTCAGTGTTGTTGAAGATTTCTTTTAATTAATTTGATGGTGCAAGGTAGATTTCACTTCACAGATGCTACATACATTCATGGAGTAAAGATAAGATTTGGAAAATATATGATGCATACTTAGCACAAGTTCATACTTTAGTATTTAGTTCTTATCTAGTTACAATTCAGCCTATCCAAAATATTCTTTCCAAGTGAGAGATCTTCTGAAGAACTTATAGTGGTAATTCTGTAAATATTATCTACTATTTATGATATTTATTAAGTGTTAAAGATCAGAAAAAACAATTCCACTAGCATGTCAAAGTGATAACCCAAAAACTCTGTTCCATGTGTCTTAGTGTACATTGGTCTCTTTCTCTGGAGGACTGTACTTAGTGAACCCACTTTGCCTATGGTGGCCGTGTCTCTGTTGTTCAGAACCATGCAGTCAAGCACTGGTTTTGTTAGCTCTTTTATTTCTCAGTTATCTCCTTGCTGATACTACATTTCTCTGTAGTATCTGGAGATAAGTTTTCATGCCCTTGCTATCTGTGATAATGGCTTTGAATCCCACTTAGGGAGCAGGGGAGTGGAGTCATTACCACTTGTGTCCGCCCACTCATCATTGTATAGGGCATTTGACACTCAAATTCTGTAATTGAGATGTTTAAATCAGACAAATAGTGCTGTCTATGAAGAATGGAAGGAAATTTTATATTGTCTTTTAACTTAACAGGAAAGATTAAACTACCCAAAATTTGAAATACGTAATCTCCTTTGGGGGAAAATGTATTTTCTTAGTTGAAATATTTGTCTGTGTTCCCTAGACTGGAAGATTCCTTGAGCAGATACAAACCTGTCTTCCATGTCTACAGCACCAAGTTTGGTGTCCTTATTCTGAAAAGAATAGCAATTTTCTCTCCATGGTTTTGGAAAATAGTTATTGGTTTTATGTCTAGTATGGTGCCACGTTTGGTTGTTTAACCTCAACTAATGTCTATGTGTCTTGAAAACTGATGTTTGATATTAACAGTGTCCTTTGTGTGATAGTAAGTATTTTAAACATTGTTTTCGCTGTGATTTTCCCTAAATAAGCCAAGGGGTGGTTAAACTTCAGAAGATTTTTGATATCTTGGTTGAGCTCTTAAGTAATTAAACTTGTTTACATGCTATTTATTCTCAGTGAATTACTGGGAGCAATGCTGAAACATTTCATGAGTGTTATGAGCAGCATCATAAAAGCCCTTAGACTGTCTTTCATCCTGGGTGACTATGGCGATTCTGAAGGAAGGTCATGTTCAAGGAGAGCCAGGATATCAAGGAATGGGGTATCATCATTTTATTACTCCATATTTTACTCCCAGTGAACTGGTGAACAATTAAAATTCAAACACATCAGTGCATATAATTCAGTTACTCCCAAAACACCATAAAAATGTCTCCCTGATCAATAATTGCTTATTATGACATGCATTTGTTGTGCTGCTGTCAGGTGCTTAGCTATTTGCTTTCTTAAAGTATGGAAATCAAGCCAGGCTCATCAGCCTATGTGGTAAGAAAGAGCAGTCCAGCTATGGATATCATTGAGCCGTTCTCCACCTGCTGTGTGGGGATTCCACTTCCCCCATATCCAGATCCTCCATGGCCCCACTCAATGGCTAAGGCTTCCACAAAGACCTTCCTGACTGGTCAGAAGTAATAACCTCTCCTTCTGTGAGTTTGTATAACATACAGCTTATATTTCTTATAGGAGATTCTGTCATGGTATGCATTAAATTCTATTACCTGTTGTCTCAGTCACTTCCCTGTCACTGGGACAAAATACCTGACACCTGCAATTTAAAGGAGAGGTTTATTTTGGCTCATGGTTTTTAGAGTATTCAGTCTGTAGTCAGCTGGCTCCAAAGCAGGAAAGGCATGGCAGGAGGGCCTGGACAGAGGAAAGCTGCTCATCCTGTGGCAGCCAGGATGCAGAGAGAGAAGGAAGAAACTGGGGAGGGAGATAAACCCTTCTAGGTCACACACCAGTGGCTTGGCTCTTCTGACCAAACCCCATCTCCATTCAGCTCTGAACTCTTCAGTGGATTAATCCCCAACCCAGTCACCTCCCAAAAGCCCATCCTCTGAACACATTCTAGATCTAAACCATAAAACCTGTCTAATTTCCCCTGTCAAATACAGCATACTTCTTATAAGACTATGAGTTCATTGAGGACAGAAACTCCTTCACAGGTAGAATTCTTGTGCTATTTTCTTATGCCTTATCATCAGGAGGTACTTTATAAATTTCGGTTGAATGGAAGGATGAGTGAAACTTTAATAAGCAAGTCTGTATCATATTCTAAATCATGATTTTAGCAGCACAGCTGAGAAGGGAACTTCAAAGACTGCCTAGAAGCGATGGAATGGAACAAGTTTAATTAGAACAACAGACTTGTTCAGGCATTCGATTTTTTTGGCTGGGGGAGGGGTGCTTCAAGTAGAACCCTAACACAGGCATTTTTCAGAACTCTACCCTTGTTTCTGATACCTAAGTAAATTTCCCACATAACAAGCTATGTAGTTCAGCATACATAGGGATGCTAGGAGACTTTAAATTCAGAATATCATTAAAATAAGTATATCTACAATTGTAATACAATTAATTGGCATTGTGTCTAATGATAGTGTCATTGATAATAATAACAGCTATCATTTATGATGCTAGTATGTGACTGTCTTAATTGAGATTCTCTAGAAGCCGAGCCTGAGATGGGGCGATTCAAGTGCACGTGATTTTAAAGGGTGTAAAAGTCTGTAAGGGAGTGAGGTATTCTAGTCTAGGCCTGCTTCAGAGTACTCTAGAGAGTAAATCACACTGTAAAGTTGTCTTACTGCCCCAATTTGGGGCAAAGATGGGACTGTTGTACCTCACCAGTCAGGCATTGGTCACTACCACCAAGCCAAAGAAAGAGGTGGTGGGAATATGATGAATTGCTCACATGTGTCTGGGCTTGACAGTGCCTAAATTCACAGTAAATGGAGAATTGATATTAAGGTTGGAAAAGGGAATCTAACTAGGGCACCAATAGTCTTTGTTACAGTCCAGACACCTAAATACCTAATTTTTTAAATTTTGACACAATCTCAACTTTACAGAAAAATTGCTAGTACAAAGACCCCCCCCCCAGCCATCTGAGAGTGAGTTGCTAATCCTATTCTTCATCACCCCTGAATGGTTCAGTGTATAATTCCTTCAAATGAAAACACTCCAATAAAGTCTCTCTAAATGTATCACATTTGGAAGATAACATAAATACTCTACTGCCACGTAATCCTCAGATCCCTCTTGGCTTTCACTTTGAAGTCACACGTTTCACTTAAATGTCACATGTTTTTCAGTGTATTTTTTTTTACTTTCATGGCCTTGAGATTACAGGCCATGTTTTAGAATGTTCATCTATGTGGGTTTCTTATAAATAACCCCATTCAATTTACTTATATCGACATGGAGCTATAGTTTCCTATTTTATTGGATATTTTAATCTATTTCTATCTTGTATTTTGATACCTAAATTATCCTCAGTTTGACAGGTATGAAACTATCTGGCTCTTCTTTTTGACATGGCCCTGTAGTCTTTGCTTATTACTGTACATCCTTGCTTTTTAATATAAGATATTTCAGGATAATCTTATACTTTCCTTTCCTCACTCCTGGGTCAGTCATTTCTCCATGATGCTCTGATTTGTTTCATTAGGAAATGGCCCATATGTGCCCAGATGGGAGCATCAGGTGTGCTTGTTGTCATTAAGGTTGCTCTGCTCCTCCCATGTCCTCTCAGTGAACACAGCTAAGAAGGGTGTGGGTGTAGGCACACAGTGGGGTGCTTGAGCTGAACACTATGAGTTCATGTTGATACTTGCAGTTCCAACCACCCAACATCACAGTGTTCAGTCTAGTTTTCTCTTTGCCACATTTAAAACTCTCTTCTCATTGAAAACTCTGGCTGACATTGTCCTTAGTATGTTTGTTTGGTTAGTTACTCTCCCTGTGCATGAACATTGTGCATACCCTCCTTCCATCTCCACACAGTGGTCTTCCTCCTCCTCTTGTACTGGCTCTGATACCTGCACATGCCCCGCCTGCATGGCTGCCTGCCTTGGCTCACACTGACACACAGTTTCAGGGCAACTCTCCACAGTGACACCCTTGTTACCCTGCCTGAACTCTGACACTTCATGCCAGCTTTCCCCTCCACATTCAATGCAGGCTCTGTATCCCTTGCCCAGGTCCCCAGGCTCAGATGCCCCCTCACACTTTGGGCTCTGATTCCCTGTCCCAGGTAGTCCTTTCCAATCAACACCTTCCTTTCCCTCTTTGGGCTTCAGCTTCCACCGTGGCCCTCCTTGCCTCTCTCCACCCTGAGGCATGGATAGCTACCTTGTTCTTGTGCATCTTATGGCTTTAGCACCAAATTATAATTATACAATTATACAACTTTAGCACCAAATTATTACACCAAATTATTTAGCACCAAATTATAAAGAAAGGGAAGAAAGAAAAGCAGAGAGAATATGGGAAAAGGAAGGGAAGGGAAAGGGGGAAAAGAAGGAGAACATACATTATCATGTCACTTTCCTATGGTCTGTTCCTCAGCCACTATCCAAACCCAGGCCATTCTTACTCTAGAGCCTGAGTTCTGTCTCCTCTACTACCCTTCTTCTAAAGAGAATGCTCACAAAACTTGCTTGGTCTCTGGGTTGTGCACAAATGGGTAACAATAGTGT